GGAGGATCCGTAATGTAACGGCGTCGGCACAACCTTTCAGAGGTCCGCGCGGATTCCTTCTATCGGCGCTGGGCCCCCCTCCTTGGTGAGCGGAGCGCGCCAGTGGCGGCGCCAAAGGCGCCGCCAAAGGGGGTGGGGCCCAGCTCCGACCCAAGACATCCGCGCGGGTGCCGTTTTGTTGTTCCTCCAAGACGTGTTCTGGGTACCCCTCCTTCCCTTTTTTTTTTTTTTTTTTTTTTTTTTTTTTCTCTCTCTCTCTCTCTCTCTCCTCCGCGGCCGCTTCTGGTTTGTCCAGCCTCCTCCGCGCGCAATTGCGATTCACTCGGCCGCGGCCTGGCAACTAAACAGACTGATGCCTCGTGGTCCACCCACTTCGCTAAGACAACAGGTCTCGTCCCTCCGAGGTGTTCGGGGGCAACGCCGGGGGGGGGGGGGGGGGGAATAGGCTCAGGGGGGATGCGTCGACCCCCAACCGCCCATTCATCGTCGATAGAGTCCTGGTAGCCCACCCCGCCTGGGAACGTGTGGGTTCGCCAACGTTGGCTTATCGCCGACTCCAGGTCGGTGTTTCCCCGTCTGTGCCGACCCCCCAAGAGGAGGAGGAGGAGGAGGAGGAGGAGGAGGAGGAGGAGGAGGAGGAGGAGGAGGTGCAGGAGGTGCAGGAGGAGGAGGAGGAGGAGGAGGAGGAGGAGGAGGAGGAGGAGGAGGAGGAGGAGGGGGACCCCCCCCCCAGGAACCCCGTCCAGGACCTCCCACCATGAACCCACCCAAGGGAACACCATCCGTACTCCCTATCCGAGGGAAGGGGCTTCCCTGCGACTCAACGACAACGGTGCTCAACTTCGCTTTGATTTCCCCAGTGGAAGGGGGGGAGCGGCGATGGGCCAAGGGAACGGAGACCAAACGCAATGGCGACGGACGACGGCGACGACGACGACAAGGACGACGATTCTGACGACGACGAGGAGGAGGAGGAGGAGGAGGCCCTCTTGGGTCGTCTTTGGGGCCTCTTGGGGTACTCTGGGTCCCCCCATCCAGGACCCCCCCCCCATTACCCCCCCCTTGGAGGGGGGCGGGATCAAAGGGAAGGAGCCTCCCTTCGACTCAATTGCGATGTTGCTCAATTCCGCTTTGGTTTCGCATTGGCTGGCTCGCTTGGGACGTTTGTCAGGCCTGGGACCCACGAGGGGGCTGGTATTCTGACCCAGGACCCCCCCTATGACCTTCCCCAGGACCCCACCCAGGACCGCCCCCGGCGGACACACCCCCACCCCCCACCCTCGGGGGGGGATGAAAGGGAAGGGGCTTGCCTTCGACTCAACTACGACGTTGCTCAATTTCGCTTTGGCTTCGCGTTGGCTGGCTCGCTTGAGGAGGAGAGCCCAGTGAAAGGGGGGGAGCGGCGACGGGCCCATGGAAAGGAGATCAAACGCGACGACGACGACGACGACGACGACGACGACGACGACGGCGGCGGCGGCGGCGGCGGCGGCGGCGGCGGCGACGACGACGACGAGACAAACAGAACAGCGTCTCTCACACGCCGACAGGCCCGACGGATTCCTTCGCAACGAGAGGATGTCGGGTCCCTCCTTCCCCGCCCTCTCGCCCTCTAGAGATGTTTGCTCCGCCCATGACCCTTCGCGAGTCGTTCTCTGACAGTCCTGGGGCCCGGCTAGTGCCCCCGGAGGCCGAGATGGGTTGAGCCCGTCGTGCTTTTGCCCTCCCCTCCCCTCCCCCCATCTGCAGGTGTTCTCGCCGCCCCTCCCCTCCCTCCCCTCCCCTCCCCTCCCCTCCCTCCACAGGTGTTCTCGCCCCCCCTCCCTCTCCTCCCCTCCCTCCCCTCCCTCTCCTCCCCCCCGCTCCCCTCCCTCCAGAGGTGTTCTCGCCGCCCCTGACCCAGTTTACCTACCGCACGGAGCGCGGCGTCGAGCGGCGCGACGTGCCCGCGCTTCTGGGCGCGACCTCGTGCGGCTGCCGCACCGCGTCGGGCGATGGCCAGGCTGGGCGCGCGGCGCTGCCGGTGTCAGCGGGAGGAGGAGGGGGATGGGCAGGGGGAGGGGGAGGGGGAGGAGGAGGAGGAGGAGGAGGAGGAGGAGGAGGAGGAGGAGGAGGAGGAGGAGGAGGAGGAGGAGGTAGAGGAGGAGGAGGAGAGGAGACGAGGAGGGAGGAGGAGGAGGAGAGGAGCAAGGCAGGAGCAGGAGGAGGAGGAGGAGGAGAGAGGAAAGGGGATGGAGAAAGGAGGGTGAGGAGGAGAGGAGGAGGAGGAGGACGACGAGGAGGAGGAGGAGGAGCAGGAGCAGGAAGAGGAGGAGGAAGGAGGGAGGAGGAGGAGGAGGAGGGGGGAAGAGGGGGAGGTGGAGGACGAGGAGGAGGAGGAGGAGGAAGAGGACCAGTGTAAACCTAAGAGTCATCAGCGACGTTGGGGTGAACCCTCCCTCCAAGCTCCCTCTTCATAGGCCCCTAAACGTTTCATTTCCATTGGGAGAACTGCCTCGTT